AGTTGTGACACTTGCAAAAAGGAGAACACATTCAGTGTTCTTCCACTTGCACCAACACACCCAGGCCTCCACAGGGTTGTCTCCCTTTGAGTTACTGTTTGGTAGGAAGCTACAAAGGGTGTTTGAATTGATTTAAGAAAACTTCTGGACCTGTGAACAGAGCTGCACACATTGGGAAGGTTATCACAGGTGGTGGCGGTCCTGGAGTCCTTGAAGCTAGCGGAGCTCACAGCCAACTTGAAGAATTGTGTAGTTGGATGGAGGGAGGTACATTATTTTGGGTACCACTTGGGAGGTAGGCAGGTGCGCCCGCAGATGGAGAAAACAGTAGCCATCACATCCTGCCCATGTCTCAAGACGAAAAAAGATTTGAGGCAGTTCTTGGGACTGGATGGGTACTACTGCCAGTTCGTGCCCGACTTTGCGGAGCTGACCAGCCCCTTGACTGATCTCACCCGAAAGAGTGCCCCTGAACTTATGTGGTGGACAGAGCAGTGCCAGGTGGTGTTTGTGCAGAAGAAGAGGGCTCTCTGTGGGGAACCTTTGCTTCACACACCTAACTTTTCCCTCCCTTTTATTCTGTACACCAACATCTCAAACAGAAGGGTGGGGGCCGTTTTGTCCCAGCAGGTTAGGGGGATTGAACGCCGAGTGGTGTGCATCAGCTGGAGACTGTTGGACCGGGAGGCACCATAGAGAAAGAGTGCCTTGCCATCCTGTGGGCATTTGACTCCCTTCGTTATTACCTACTGAGCCACCCTGGAATGGCTCCACCACATAAAGGATACCCAAATCAGTGGATTTGCTACATTAAAATGAGGAAAGCAAACCTGCTGAGTGTAAACTCCATTTTAGTAAATCTGACCTTGTGACACCAAACAGCTAAAGGCCACTCACAGTGAAAAGTCCTAACACCTGAACTGAAAGTGTTGCTTACATAACACTTCTTAAATAAGCAACACATAATAGTCACAATTACATGAAAGTTGGTATACATCTATTTTGTCCCCAAAATTTATGCCATCTTACTCAAGAACTTACTCAATTTCCTACCCACCAAGTTTGTCTAACTTTGAGCTGTTTATCTTCAGTGGACTTCATAATCACAGCAAGGGCCAAACCATGGTCACCACACAAAATAACAGAGTGATGCTGGTCTCTGCAGCAGCCACCAGCTAACTCAACTCAGCAAGTCAAATACCACAGCCTGTGTTGACAGATGGATGCTTGAAGCCTCCAAACATTTACATAGAAAAGCTTCAAATTCCTTTTTCTGATCTCCAAAAGGCACAAAGTCAGAGAGTAAACTTTCTTTTTCAAATTTTAACAGATTAGAGTTAGATTTTTATTTGATGTATTTTCAAAAAAGTGGAGAAAAGTTGAGAATGACTTTAGTTTGTAGAAGTTAGTATAATAACCACTGTTTGAGTCATCTTTGATGCTTTGAGTTTTATGAGTAAAAGTGAAATATGTGCAGCAATGTTAGTGTTCATCATACGTGACACACACAGTTTCATTACAAACAAAACTCCTTCTACTCAGTTCCTCTTTTCTGTGTCTGATTTATTAATATGCCTGTGCACTAAAACTTCCTGTGCAGCTTGCAAGAAC